TTCCGGGTTCGATAGAATGAAGGACGATAGTAAACCGTTTCTTACATTTGAAAATGAAATGTACTCGAAGTTTTATGGCTTTTTTACGCCTTTCCATCTTCCTAACGTGAGATCTCGTTGACTCAGAACTCGAACGCTGCGTTTCAATATATCCGAAATTCTCTACACGCAACATACATTACACAGCCTGTCAACATTTACGCGTGCAAGTCTGACATAATCAAGGCGCCATACCATTGCTGCTCATTGTTTCAAAAGATACTTTGATCATTTTACGTCCCACGATACCATTAATAGATGTGGCGGCTGCATTTCCGATGGAGGCGGCAATGTTGTAGGCCCGTGCGCTCAGATTTGGTTGCCCGTTAAAGAACCCCAGGTGGTCGAAATTTCCGGAGTCCTCCACTACGGCGTCTCTCATAATCATATGGTGGTTTTGGGACGTTAAACCCCACATATCAATCTATCAAAATCAATTGAATTAGGGTATTGGCTTGTTAAATCTCAGTCTTACTGTATTCTTGGTACGAGATGTTACATGTTAATCCTTTATTTACAAAGTCACAGATTATAAGGAGCATTCCCGCCTCTCCAAAGCCTTTGTGATGACGCATCACTCTGGTTACCATGCGCATGATTTGTTTAACACACTCTCAGAACTCTTCGATAAACAGTGAAAAATACAAAACCGAGCTGCTAGGTTCATCCCAGGACAATATGGCTGGAATTAAAGCTGTAACGAAGTAAAACGAGGATTGAATGGGGAAGTGCTTTCATACTGATGGGTAAAATTGAGGGTGAAAGTTCTTTTTCATTCACAATAACAAAACTGGAATTAGAAGTGAAAACTATTTAATCAACCGCTTTACATTTTTAAACGTAGTTAGCACTGACTTACAATACGTGAATGCTATCCAGGACAAATATGTCGGCAAACTTTTTCTTTCTTTTTCTTTTTTTGTGATAAAAGCTACTCTGTAGGGGAACCGGTTGTGTGTAGAGCGAATGTGGTGTCTGACTGAAAATTTGTTTATTTCCTCCAGTAACTCCCTGCTATAACACTTTCGGGCGATGTGGGGTAATCAGTTCAGTGAAGATTAAAGAAACATCTTACATTCAGTACCACAACCGCGGAGACCGTCCAGTCGCATGAAGCAACACGGACGAGATTTGGATGGCTACTCTGGCAGTGACTGTGTTTGCGTAGAGGACATATGAAATACAAACGATTGTTTGCCTCGTAATAATGACATTCATAATAACCAACGCTTCAGCTGTTTCGGTTACAGTAGGCGTGCAAAAAACGTCAGAGATGAGTTCTCTTTATGACATCACCGTTTTTTAAGGTGAGCCTCTTAGCAGTTGACGGTCCATGAGGTCAATAAAATGGGACAATATGAGATACCGCTTTTTGTGCCAATATTCAAGCAATTAGAGAGTGTCAGGATAAGAAAGGTTTTAATTGTTATCTGCATGTATGTGGGAGCTCCAAATACACGTGCGCTTGTAATACACCGAGCATGCCTTGTGGTACCACTGTATACGTCACGCCACTGAGTGCAGCTCTAAGCAACAAACCTGCTATTTTAAAGACAATAGTTTTTCTTGGGGACCTTCGACGCATAAATTTTGCTTTGTCTGTCTGTCTGTCTGTCTGTCTGTCTGTCTGTCTGTCTGTCTGTCTGTCTGTCCACTCTTAACGGCACCGGATACTTGAAACGGCCGACCCCATCTGAAGCACCCACCAATGTTGCTCAAGGTTTAGCGTTCATACTCGTGCAATTGTCAGTTAATAAGCAATTATTGCACAATTCTGGGGCGCCATAACAACAAGTATGTAGTCTGCATGTGCATATTTTACTAGAAAAGGCATGCATAAGTAATTTTAAGGACCATAGCGCTTATCACGCTGCGCTGGCCATGCGACGCTTGCACGAAAAGGTGTTTCCTACGCTCTATCAAGACGCGATGGTAGTGGCACCTACCCGCCGCCTTGCGTTCTACACCTTATCACCTCTGAAACGGGTGCGCTCACTCGTCTCAGAGCCACGTGCTTCGTTTTCTAAGAACACTACCAGGTGGCGCTCATGTCTCATGTGTGACGTGCTTGGTGTGCTCGTTCGCCTCCGCTGCACGCTCGAGGCACTCTAACGCAGCGCCTTTAAATTACCGTTCTCCGATTTTCTGACGCAGAACATTAAATAAATTGTTCGCTCTCTGCACACGCAAGACAATTGTCTTTCGACGACATTTCCAGATGACATGGAGATACGGGGCCAATTTTTATCCCCTCACCCGCACGTGCATTTCCCTCGGCCCACCTAACTTCCTGGCTCGCTCTCGAGCATTTGCCTTCTCTGCGAATCCAACCAGTTACCCTTAATGACCATCGGTTATCTTGTCTACGCACTACGTGCCCAGTCCATGTCCGTTTTTTCTTCTTGATTTCAACTATGATATCCTTCACCCCGGTTTGTTCCCTGACCCGCTCTGCTCTTTTCTTGTCTCTTAAGGATACACCTATCATTTACTCTCCATAACTCACTGCGTAACCCCCAATTTAAGCTGAACCCTCTATTAAACTTTCATGTTTCTGCTCCGCAGGTAAATACTGGCAAGATGCAGCAGTTATAGTGCCTTCCTCTTGAGGTTCATGGTAGACTACCATTGATGAATTGGGAATGCTTGCCGAGTGTCATCCACCCCATTATCATTCTTCTAGTACTGAACAAGGGTGTCTATGTAGGCTACATGGTACTTAGTTGCAATATTAGGTGTAGTATGAAGTTCATACGAAAATTGTATGAAGTAGTTCACAGGAGCGCCTCTTTCCTGTCAACTGCATCTTCTTGCAATTTCGTACGCGGCGCTGCACCGAATATTGCAGTTCTTCTAGTTATTTCACTCTCATGGGGCGGCTCCGCATTCACTACCTGCACTAAGCAGACATAATTCTTTCAGCGTCTTTCCACCTACCGCAAAGCCCTGTTTTTGGCCGAGCCTGATGCATCTTCCTCCAGTGTTATGCATATTAATTTTCAGACTTACTCTTCTGCTTTCCGGGTCCAGTTCAGTACTCATGAGCTGTTATTCGTCTATGAGCTACTCATCAAGGCAATGTCATCATATCGACGCAAAAAAATCAGCGCATATCTACGGAGTTAATGATGATGAGTGGGGCGAAGCGTCCTTCAGTGCGTCCGTTCGTTCTTGCTTCCGTCCGTCCATGCGTCCATCCGTCTGTCCATCTGTCCGTCCGTCCATGCATCTGTCTGTCTGTCTGTCGGTCCGTCAGCGCGTCCATACATCCGTCCGTCTGCTTATCTCTCTGTCAGTTCATGCATCTTTTTGTTCATCTATCTAGTGAACACTAGATACCGCCAGAAGTACCGCCATCTCGCATTTTTTCATCATTTATATTCATCATATAGAAGTAACGCCATCCAGCGAACATTCTAAGGACTAAACAAGGCGTGGCTACCTACAACTATTACTACTACATACATCGTGGACGCACGACCCATCGCTTAAGGAGCTTCGCCCCTAAAAGTCACAGCAATGAATGTGATAGCAACACATCAGCCTGTTATACGAAGTAAGGCTTGGAAATTTAGAAACCATACGAAATGTAGTGAAAATTACTGAATGTTCATTGAGCTGCAGGGTTTCTTGTACGCGCAGCAGCACGTTATCTCGGTGTCTGGGTACGTATGCGAGCCCACCTTGCTTCAGCGCCACTAGCATTCCGTCGGAGCTGTTCCGCAGATGTTCGTACGACACGCGGTGGCATCACAAAGGCCGAACTACATACAGCGTTTTCGCTGACGTTTGTCCAGCGTTTCCTTCCTCGGCGTCAGTCGAAGTCGACGATACCAGTGACAGTATAGCGGAAAGTACAGTTCATATGCACTTCACCAAAACGTCGCCTCAGACTGTCCCAGACATCGAAAGCCGGAAGCAGCTGTATGGTGGGAGAAACTTGCTCACTTGCCTGTTCCTTCATATATGGCTCCCACCCACCAGACGGCATTAGCCATGAAACCAGCGCCTAATGCTTAAGTGCATAACTGCCTAACTATAAACGAGACATATGAGTTTTGTTCAAGAATGTTTCTTTTAAGTCCATTGACAGTAAACCTGTTGTAACTCTCTTTCCAATAAAAAGCTTCACTCGACTGTGTACTTATGGCAAACTCAGTTATTACCACCTGGGTTAAAGAAGAAATGTATAGGCACTATATTTCTGTCAGTAAGCGTGCGAAATTGTACTTACCGCTCACACACAGATCATAACTTTTTTTACGGATATTCCCTTTTGCTTGTGGTGCAACTACTTTTACCGCAGCTGTGGAGGTCGTGGTCTTCCGCGTGACGTAGATGGACAGTGATCACCACCGTAAACCGGCACGCGCTGAGCCATTGCGCAAGCATTCGGTGCACGTGGTGAACAAAATAAACTGCAACGTGCGGCCCCTTGCCGATGGTCGCGCATGTGTGTTCCCTTGTTAATCTTCAGTGGACTCGTGTGGTGAGAAGTGGAATTCACCCAATTTCTGGGACACATACCTGAACGCTCTACAGGGGTTTTAAAGCAGAACTGTTATGGTCGAGACTTGTTTACAGCTATAGACAGAATGAGATAGACCAAATTATGTATAGTATAGTATAGTATAGTATAGTATAGTATAGTATAGTATAGTATAGTATAGTATAGTATAACAAGGGGTGGGAAATAGACCGGTCAGAGGGTAAATTTAGCTAAGTCCGAATGAGCTAACTGCCTGCCATCTTTGCTGTGATTCAGCTTTGGACGGCTAATGAAAGCGATGGTATCTTTCTTTAATAAGGACATGTCTCACTTCCATCATAATTGTCTTTAGGGGACTGAGTAATGGTCGAAAAAACAAGTTGTAACGGCGCCTTTACATCTGTTTGACGTACGTGTTGAGTCGTTGCATGTCACGCTGAATTGAAATAATGTTTTGATTTTTCTTCTTCAGGTAAAAGAGTTGAAGAAGAACCATACAAACACGATGTTTATGAATGCTGGTGATTTCTATCAAGGAACTGCTTGGTACAGCATACTTAAATACAACATAGTTTCTGCAGTTATGGAGAAAATGGGATACAATTACGTAGTAAGTGTATTATTTTTCGAAAGGTTTTTCATTCAAACGAGGGTAAATTTTGCGCTTTTTTTTCGTCAAGTTCCCATCATACTTTCCATTTTATTAAAATATATGACTGACGTATTCTAACTAAAGCGCACTCAACATAAAAATGGGCTACAGTTTTTTTTTTTATTATTGGAAGGACTGCATTTCGGAATAACAAAAGTGCATAACACGAGGGACACGCACACATAAACAAACAAGTTTAACTTGCGCATGAAGTTTAACAAGGATTGGTGCATGGCATAATCCTTGCATCAACCCTTGTAAGTCCGGATGGTGACCGTTACGGTGACAGGCTAATCTGAAATGACTTAAAGGCAGTCAACACCCACTGGCGCCGCAACACTCCCGTGCAGCGTATGAAACCACAGACCCCCTTTTTATGACTCTTGTATGACTGCAGTGGATGTTACACACTTGGTCTGGTTGGGCCGAAGCTTAGAACAAGCACACCTTCGACATCTGAGTTGGTCTTGAATCATAACGTATTGAGCTGTATTGCACAGAATAGCGGACAAAAAAACGAAGAAGCACCCTGAGAAGCTAGGCAGCATTTGCGCGCGTCTTAAGCACAGTGCAGGTAGCAAAACGGAGGAGAATGGGGTGTGAATCAGAAGCACCTTCATTCCTTGTGATACAGAAGTAGTGTACAGAATTCTTATGTCATTGGGCAATAGTTATATTGGGAAGTCAGGAAGATGCGCAAATGTTAGACTACGAGAGAACCAGAGGAAGCGCGAAGAGAATGACCGCTTACAAATTTAGGTTGCTCATTGCACACAACATCAATGCAAGCCACTATTTTAACAAGACGGAAGCGCTAAATAGATGCAGTAACATGAACAAAAAACTAATTTTAGAGACAAGGACACAATATGAACAAAGATGGAGTGAAGTGCATTATGAGCCCTCTAAGTGATAAATATATTCCTGAAAATCATGCACAGTCGGTAAACAGATTATGTTAGTTCTTGTGTTTTTTTATTTAGCACAAAAATATTTCTCTTTCGAATGCGGGCACACGTTCCCGCCTGTATCATTTGCAATAATTATTGGGCTAAGAGTAAAGCGCTGTCAATGTGTACGTGCTTCTTCATCTTTAGCCCTGTATTTTTCATTGTACAATTGAAAACGTTTATAATCGAGCAGCACTGGGAATTGAGTACGTTGAGTTTGTAGGCTTCACTCAATTTATGTTGCTTGGGTCTTCAGTTTTTCGTGCGTATTATGATATTCAAATAAATATTACTCTATTTTTCTTCAAAATTGCAGTGTTTAGGAAATCATGAATTTGACGATGGACCCAAAGGCCTTGCCCCATTTTTACTCCGCATGAAAGCGGCGAACGTATCCGTCATCAACACAAATGCAGATTTTTCGAACGAAGATGCACTAAAGAATATTACACTTCCCAAATCTGTCACAGTAACTATTAACGATACGAAAATTGGCATTCTTGGGGCTGTGCTTCACGAAACTCGAGAACTTTCAAATCCAGGTGAGTGAACTGATACCCGAAATATAAGAGGCCGCAAACTTGTCTCTTAGTTTACTGCTTCATTGGAGAATGCAGCCATCAAGTACATGCATTTAGAACTATAAAAACACAGAACTACGCGTAAGAAATAGAGGTATAGACAGTGCAACGATTCTATTTAAATGATATTTCTTTTTTGGCTCCTTTACTGATCCGAATTCTGCTGATATACCACTAAAAAGAAAGCAAGAGAATTTGGCCAAAGTAATGATGACGTTACATCAGCCCTGATTGCGCATTCGATTTGTTTCAAAGGTGGTGTGTCATCAAAAAGTGGCCTTAGCCATGGCGTACTACTAAGAAGTACAATTTTCTGGAGTCGTTTATAGGGAGTAATCAAACACGAATATATATGTTTACCCTTATATTACTCAATCTTTATTATTTCGATTTTCAAGCAATATAAGATAACTGCCCTGGATAATCTGTCTGTCCGTATGTTAGTCTGTCTTGTCTGCGTGTCTGTGGGTGTTCTCCTACTCTAGCTATATGACTAATATAGAAAATATACGCTGACTGATTCAACACAAATTCCCTCGAGTAATAAAACGTGTCTGTGGGGCGTGATGCCACCTCTCTTCGAGAAGAGAAAGCTGTAAAAAACACACACAGATCACTATTTGGTAACATACATAGTGTTTAAATGTATATAAGAAAAATCATGGCATATCCCCGAAACAAATGATGAGTAGGCGAAGCACATAGTTCGACGTTACTGTAAATCACCCGTGACATTAAGCACTCACGTATGTAAATGAGCGACAAAGCGGTGTACAGTTATATGATGTTTATTAGTCATGAATGGTATGTTGTGTTGAGTTCTGAATTTTGTTCTGTATTCATTACTGTTTCTTTTTTTGGTAAAGAATCTAGCCTGAAGTTGGCAAAGATGAGGTATGTGCACGTTTTCTTGGTAGTTGTTGACTGTTTCCAGTCGTAAGAAATGCATCATAGAGGATATCGAGACGTCATCTACTGCACCATCATTGTCCGTGATCATCATCATCTTCATAATCAGCATCATGGCGTATGATGGGTACCTTGCATATGCTGTGCCGTGATGGCTGAGAGAGTATGCGTGGTGTGGAACGTGCTTGTTCTTCATAGTCACCAGCGTGATCGTCATCCTCATCGTCGTCGTCACCGGTGGCTATGGCGCATAACGCCTAGTCTCTACCATAAGGAGCTTTGTCCCTAATGAAAGCGGTGAAATATAAGAGCAACCCACCGTGGTAGCTTGGAACCACAGTGATTAGGACGTAAAGGCACGGCCACACGCATCTGTTGCAGCGCGTTGCTGTGTGGCTTTTTGACGCAGCCCGCGTCGCACAGTTTCACGTAACCATGCGCCCTCTCTCTTTATAAAGAGAGGGCTTGGCACCACGTCAAAAACTCACGCACTGACTCGCTGCAATGGTTGCTTATGTGTGGGCGTGGGCGCGGGTGTGGTCCCCGGCGCTGGTTGCCTAATTTAGAGGTGGGAGGGGGTGCATTGTAGAAACAGCCATGCACTCACATTTGGCGCACGTTAAAGAGTCCCATGTGGTCAGAATGCCTCATATTCATATATTTTTTCATACATAGAGCCCAAAAATGATTACATGTAACACCAAGCGTCGAAAAATCCATCCATCCATCCACCCACCCACCCACCCACCCATTCACCCACCCACCCACCCATCCATCCATCCACCCACCCACCCACCCACCCATTCACCCACCCACCCACCCATCCATCCATCCATCCATCCATCCATCCATCCATCCATCCATCCATCCATCCATCCATCCATCCATCCACCCACATACCCATCCATCCATCCATCCATCCATCCATCCATCCATCCATCCATCCATCCATCCATCCATCCATCCATCCATCCATCCATCCATCCATCCATCTATCTATCTATCTATCTATCTATCTATCTATCTATCTATCTATCTATCTATCTATCTATCTATCTATCTATCTATCTATCTATCTATCTATCTATCTATCTATCTATCTATCTATCTATCTATCTATCTATCTATCTATCTATCTATCTATCTATCTATCTATCTATCTATCTATCTATCTATCTATCTATCTATCTATCTATCTATCTATCTATCTATCTATCTATCTATCTATTCTATCTATCTATCTATCTATCTATCATCCTTGTTATGGCATAAAAAAGCTTTACTAATACTCAACTGGTGTGACACCTATGGGGAATACGTTATTGAACGCTGATTTCTAATGAATTTGTTAGCGTGACGTTAAACGAGCTATATTTGGATTTTATAACTTTTTTACGCAGATTAATTGCTTACCCATAGTATCAGTATGCTGTTCGAGCTTGAAAAAATTGTGAGCATTGTCATGTTTCGCATAGACGCAATCAACTTGTAGAGAAATTGTACTGCACCAACTAAATCTTACTGTTGGTATGCACTGAATCTTTCATAATTCATGAGTGACGCTGAACACTTCTAGAATACGTTTATGGCTGTGCCCCAAACAGTGACAGTAAAATATGAGGAAACTTTCTCTTTATTCGACCTCGATGAAGGGCGTTCGGCAAGAACATGTGCAAACAACCTCACAACTTCTCTGTAGATCACATCTACCACGCTACGTCTCCATGCCAAGGCGACAACCATCCATTTTAATCTCAGACGAGTAGCAGTGAACGTCAAAATGCTGAATGCAACTGCATAGGCGGGTTGGGCAGCAACCCAATACATGAAATCTATTATTTTTACAGCAAAAACAAGCACTTTACGTTTCAGGTAACGTCACATTCCGCAATGATCTAGACAGTATCCGGGAAGAAGCCAAAAACCTTACCAATCACGGCGTAAAAGTTATAATTGCTATAACTCACATTGGCTATCCCCGTGAAATGGAAATAGCGGCAAAGGTGGATGAAGTGGACATAGTCGTCGGAGGACACACGAATACATTTTTGTATCATGGTAAGTATCATATTGCCGATTCATGTTTAAAGATACAAGGGGCGTCCCTGCCTCATCCTTTTACATATGTAAACTTTTCATATCCATACTTCTTCAGTCTACACAGACGTTGTTTTCCCGGTACACCTACTTCAAAGCCGCGCGTAGGCAGTATACGAGTTTCGTTTAGCACATCCCATAAAGTGCTCCTTTTAGACAAACAAAACACTGCACCCTTTACTAGATTGCCTGCTCATTCGAACAATCGTCGTCGCTTCGCTTTAAGATCTAAAATTCATGCATGATTATCAAATAGCAGTGGATGACCTTTCAATGCACCTGCCTCTCAATAATAAAAAAATATCAATAAAATAAATTATTATTATTATTATTATTATTATTATTATTATTATTATTATTATTATTATTATTATTATTATTATTATTATTATTATTATTATTATTATTATATTACTTTTGCTTTTATAGTTGTTGACCGGTATCCACAAGTAAAAAAAAAAACCCTCAATATTTATGCATTCTAGGGGAAGACCCACCTGGGGGAGAGAAGATTGAAGGTGACTATCCAACAGTAGTAAATAAAACTAGCGGCAATGGTCAAGCTCTCGTCGTCCAAGACTATTGGTTTGGAAAGTATCTAGGATTTCTCCAAGTAACGTTCGACGCAAATGGAAATGTTACGAACTGGACTGGAAACCCCATTCTCATAAATGGATCCGTCGAAGAAGGTATTGGATGTTTACCATACGATTGGCAAGCTCCAAAATTTTGAATCGGACAACCGAAAGAAAGATATGCCTTTGGAACATCGGCTCATAGTATTTATAGACCATACGCATGTAGCCAGAAAGTTGTTACCTAATGAATAATGAAAGATTTAGGTACTTGCATACGTTAAGGAATCGTACACGAATGAATATACATACCACGAAGAAAAAAATTATGAGTTAAAATGAAATGCCCCAGTGCATGCATATATCGCTATTGTTGATATAACCGAGTTTTGTAAGCATCAAACTTTTACCACAATGTTTGAAATGCTTAAAATACCTACATGCATGCGTCAAGCACTAATTTTAAATGACATTGCAATCCCCGAGTTTATAACACATTTTTTGCTTCTAAAAAGTGAATTACGAATTAAATTATTATGATTCTTCCGAAAACTCTTGAAAGAAAACACACTCCGAAAGGTTGGCATGCGTGTGCGGCCTTGTCCTCCTATACCATTAATGTTTCCTAGTTTGTCTTTCTAGCACTTCCCAGTTATTCTTATTTTGCTTGTTTGTGTGCTTACTGCCTTTAGTAGATCATTGCACTGGAAATTGTTGTTTCTGTTTCAACGGGAGAGAATCTAGTACGTGTTTGATAACTTGGTCTCTCAACTCTTTTCAGATGAAGAGGTTCTGAATATCACACTTGAGTACGAGCCCTTGGTCAACAAATCGATTGCTGAGGTCATAGGTTACACGAAGGTGCTGTTGGAGCAGAACGATAACATCTGCCGCTTGCGCGAGTGCAACCAGGGCAACCTGCTGACGGATGCGTACTTCACGTACTACATCGACAAGAGCGTCTCTACTCCCAAGAAGTGGTCAGACGTGAATGGAGCCGTGCTGAACGGAGGCACTATCAGGGCGCCCATTGAGCAAGGAAGTAAGCACCATCTTATTTTTACGACGGAACAATGCGGTCACCGTTCGCTTGTTACAAAGCCACGCCCTAAAAGGCCTCCTGTCTTGCTCATTGACGTAGCCCTTGATTTTAGCGTGCCAGCAAAGGAACAACAAGGGGTAGATAAAACAGTAGCTTGTATATTTTCCAACTTTCTTCCCGCATAAACGCAAGTATTTAGGTATACAAGGTCGTGGTATGCAAAAATATGATTATTAATCTTGACACATTATGTGAATAGGTTTTACATTAAACTTTCAGAAGGACTTCGCGTACGACGGAGTACCCAAAAGTAGCCGGAATAGCACGGCACTGGGCAGAGCGAGCGTAGCATGCAAAGAGAGCATCGCCTACTCCTTTTGAGCAAATTTCATTCGTTAGATTATTCTCCTAAGAAGGTTTTCTTTGGGTACGATAAAAGTTTTTCTTTAAATCAATTTCATGCCCTCAGTAAGTTTTTTTCGTGATGGTCAATTGAAGAAAATAGTGAGTAAGCGTGAAATTTCGTTTCTTTCTCCGGCAAAATTACTCACCAACTACTGCAGTATCATGGTGTGATGGAAGAATCTTTAGCGCTTGAGGGATTTCATCTGCTCAAGAAATGATAAATGGAGAGAGACGCGATTTATGACAAAGCTCGTTGTGGATGCCCACCAAATTAACAAACGAAAAATAAAATAAAAAAAGCACACTTCTGCATGGAGACCGATGACCGACCAATGAAGCGTTGGAAAAGTTATCTGGTATATTATGGAGCTCCGTTCTGTAGATTTTGATGGAAGATTTGGAGCAGCAGGAAGGTTGCGGAGAAATTTCTGCCCGGAATATTGACAAACGAGTAGGGAGATGGTCGAGTGAAAATAGGCTGTGCTTTAGAAAAACAGCTGTGAAGTGACCCGGACTTTCACTGTAAGATCATGACCAGTCATAATGGTAATATTGCCATCCCGAAGCACCATTTTACATCCGGAAATTGTTCTTTTAGAACGACCTTGACAAAAAACACCAAGAGCGTGAAAAAAGTTATTTCACGAGAACAAAACAAAAAATAGCACTGCACCCATAAAAAAGCTTCTTGTGCATATCCACCAGGTGCGATGTTCTCGAAAGGTATGACTCGATGCTCGTTTAGGGCGAGGATCCCCTACTACCGGGTCATCATCATCATTATCAGCCTGACTACGTCCACTGCAGGACAAAGGCCTCTCCCATGTTCCGCCAGTTAACCCGGTCCTGTGCTTGCTGCTGCCAATTTATACCCGCAAACTTCTTAATCTCGTCGGCCCACCTAACCTTCTGTCTCCCCCTAACCCGCTTCCCTTCTCTGGGAATCCAGTTAGTTACCCTTAATGACCAGCGGTTATCCTGTCTACGCGCTACATGCCCGGCCCATGTCCATTTCCTCTTCTTTATTTCAACTATGATATCCTTAACACCCGTTTGCCCCATAATCCACTCTGCTCTCTTCTTGTCTCTTAAGGTTACACTTACCATTTTTCTTTCCATTGCTCGCTGCGTCGTCCTCAGTTTAAGCTGGACCCTCTTTGTAAGTCTCCAAGTTTCTGCTCCTTAGCTAAGTACCGGCAAGATACAGCTGTTATATACCTTCCTCTTGAGGGATAGCTGCAATCTACCTGTCACAATTTGAGAGTGCTTGCCGAATGTACTCCACCCCATTCTTATTCTTCAAGTTACTTTAATCTCGTGGTTAGGCTCTGCGGTTATTACCTGCCCTAAGTAGACATAGTCTTTTACAACTTCAAGTGCACTATTACCTATCTCGAAGCTCTGCTCCTTTCCGAGGTTGTTGTACATTACTTTCGTTTTCTGCAGATTAATTTTAAGACCAACCTTTCTGCTCTTCTTGTCTAACTCCGTAATCATGAGTTGAAATTCGTCCCCTGAGTTACTTAGCAATGCAATGTCATCGGCGAAGCGCAGGTTACTAAGGTATTCTCCATTAACTCTTATCCCTAACTTTTCCCATTCTAGGCTTCTGAAAACTTCCTGTAAGCACGCGGTAAATAGCATTGGGGAGATTGTGTCCCCCTGCCTTACACACTTCTTGATTGGTATTCTGTTGCTTTCTCTATGAAGCACTATAGTAGCAGTTGATCCCCTGTAGATTTCTTCCAGAATGTTTATATATACTTCATCTACGCCCTGATTCCGCAGTGTCTGCATGACGGCTGATATTTCTACTGAATCAAACGCTTTCTCGTAATCTATGAAGGCTATGTATAGTGGTTGGTTATACTCTGAGCATTTCTCTATTATCTGATTGATAGTATGAATGTGGTCAATTGTTGAGTAGCCTGTTCGAAATCCTGCTTGTTCCTTTGGTTAATTGAATTCTAATGTTTTTTTTTTACTCTGTTAGCAATTACCTTTGTAAATAGCTTATATACTACAGAGAGCAAGCTGATCGGCCTGTAATTCTTCAAGTCTTTGTCATCTCCTTTCTTATGTATTAAGATGATGTTAGCGTTCTTCCAAGACTCTGGTGCCCTTCCCGTCAGGAGACACTTCGTAAACAGGGTGGCTAGTTTTTCTAACACAATCTGTCCTCCATCTTTCAGCAGATCTGATGTTACCTGATCCTCACCAGCAGCTTTGCCTTTTTGCATGCTCTCCAAAGCTTTTCTGACTTCTTCTATCATTACTGGTGGGGTGTCATCTGGGTTATTGCTAGTTCTTTAGTATTAAGGTCGTGGTTGTCTCGGCTACTGTACAGATCTCTGTAAAACTCCTCCGCTATTTTAACTATCCTATCCATATTGGTAGTTATTTTGCCTTCTTTGTCCCTTAGTGCATACATCCGACTTTTGCCTATCCCAAGTTTCCTCTTCACTTCTTTGACGCTTCCTCCGTTTTTCAGAGCGTGTTCAATTCTCTCCATGTTATACCTTGTTACATCGCATACTTTACGCCTATTAATCAACTTTAAAAGCTCTGCCAGTTCTATTTTGTCTGTTGTACTTGACACTTTCATGCTTTGACGCTTCTTAATTAGGTTCTTCGCTTCCTGGGAAAGCTTGCCAGTGTCCTGTCTAACTACCCTGCCTCCAACTTCCACTGCACACTCCGTAATGATACTCGTTAGATTATCATTCATTGTATCTACGCTAAGGTTGGTTTCCTCACTAAGAGCCGAGTACCTGTTCTGCAGCGACACTCTGAATTCTTGTACTTTCCCTCTCAGTGCTAGCTCATTGATTGGCTTCTTGCGTATCAGTTTCTGTCGTTCCTTCTTCAAGTCTAGGCGAATTCGAGACCGTACCATTCTATGGTCACTGCATCGTGCCTTGCCAACCACTTCCACATCCTGCATGATTCCTGGGTGTGCAGTCATTGTATAGTATATTTCGTTCTTATTTTCGCCATTAGGTCTCCTTCATGTCCACTTGCGGTTTTCTCGTTTTCGGTAGAAGGTATTCAAAATCCGCATAATATTGCGTTCTGCGAATTCTACTAGTAGCTCTCCTCTGGCGTTTCTAGTGCCGATGCCATAATCTCCTACTGCCTGGTCTCCAGCCTGCTTCTTCCCTACCTATGAATTAAAGTCGCCCATCACTATAGTATACTGTGTTTTTACCTTACTATCTCCGCCTAATGCTGAGCCAAGTCTGGTTACCTTTGGGTACATCCTTGTACGTCTATTGTTTTACCAAAACAATGAAACCAACAGGCGATTAAGTCTGGGATGTTTCGGAAAGTTGTTTTGTCGTTTTGCAGCCGCAGTATAATAATTTTCACCTTTTGATTTCTTTCTATTTGGCAAATAATAATAATAATGATAATAATATTAATAATAATAATAATAATAATAATAATAATAATAATAATAATAATAATAATAATAATAATAATAATAATAATAATAATAATAATAATAATAATAATAATAATAATATAATTCATAATTAAAATAAACAATACAATAAACAACACAATACAACGTGCTATCAAAAGTAACGCCAACATCATTGATTTCATAAGCTTTGCCCGCGTCTGAAAGGGTACCAACCTACTAAACGGCACAGAATTGACAGAGTATGGAAATGACATGCTCGATGCTTTGAGATTGATTCTCATGAGTCATAGCTTAGGTCTTTGAAGTATTCAGAAAAAAGTGATTGTTGTTGTAGCATTACAGAAAAAAACACACAAATCTAACTTCAAAAAATGGCAGCATATCCACGGAGTGAATGATAGATAGTGGGGCGAAGCATCCATCCGTCCATCCGTTCTTGCTTCCGTTCATCCATGCGTGCGTCTGTGTGGCCACCCGTGCGTACTTCTCTTCGTGCGTCCGCACGTTGATCTGTGCGTCCGTCCCTGCTTTTGTCCATGCATCCGCTCCTGCGTCCGTCCATGCGTCCATCCGTCCGTGCAGCCATCCGTGCATCCGTCCATGCATCTGTCTGTGTGTCCATTCGTCCACCTATTGAACACTCCAAGTACCACCATCTCGCATCTTTTCATCATATATTCCTCATATAGAAGCACCGCCATTCAGCGGACACTCCAAGGACTGACCGAGAGGAGGCACACGCACACTTTCTTACGGCTTGCGCTTCGTGTCTACTTCCCACCTTTAACCACCTCGAGTTCATGGTATATACTAGTTAACTGTATTCACTGCACTGCTGCCCAACGCTCGCTAAACTTTTCTAAAACCTAGGAGGTTACGCCAAGCGAGTATTACGTAGCAACCCTTTCTTGTCTTCTGTGCGGTGTTGAACAATTAAAAATTCGCAGCGTGCGCGTTAACTAAAAGCCAAATTCTCCTGTTTCTCATTCCCCTTTAACAGTCATTGGCATGTATATTGAGCACTATCTTTTATTGTTCAACAACGCACAGAAGAAATATCTCACCAGCACCGCCTTGGAGGTCAAAATGTTATTCTTGTTACACACTACTACGACGGCTACGAGAGACGAACGGGTGCCGCTGTAAGGATCTTCGGCCCTAAAAGCGA